CAAGCGTGGGGTGGCCGCTTCCCAGCAGGGTGACAAGAAAGGACTGTTACACGGAGGTGGCCCTTCCTCTCTTGGAGAACACCACCATCATCCAGCAGCCCGCCAACCTCAGCAGCCTGGCAGAACGCTACGTGGAGCAGGCGGCGCGGTTCATCCAGCTGGCGAGGTGAGACGCCGCCCGCCGTCCCGGTGCGCCGGGAGAGCTCGTGGGTCACCGCATCCTCCGTGATGCTGGGGGTCACGGGTGTTGTCCCGCATCTCTTGGGGAGCAGACCTGGGGTCTCCATGGCTTCCCAGCTGAGGAGGAGGCAGCTGCCGAGGCTGTCACGTCCTGCGGGTCCTGCCCCGGGAGCCTTTCAGTGCGTCTCCTCTAAAGGGATCGTGTGATTTTAAAGATGTTTTTCCATTTACAAGGAAGGTCAAAGCCTTTGAGCTGGGCTGGGCCTCCTTCCTGGGGGTAACATGCGGCGAGATCCCGGGGACGAGAGGGAGGGAAACGCTGCCATTCTGCTGTCCTCTGTCCCTCCATCTTTGGGGTTTGCTCCGTTTTGGGGACAAAGTGCTCTGGGGTCCCTGGCTGCCAGGGGTCACGAGGAGCCCGGGCGTGCTCGTTCCCGAGGAGCAAAGCCGCTCCTCTGAGACGACGACCCCGAAGCCCTGCTGATGGGTTGCATAATTTTAATCCCTATTATCGGTGGATTATGAGCTGTGACTCTGCAAAACTGGCTTGGGGAAAGATGTGTGTAACAGGGGCGAACGAAGGGCTGGGCAGGGAGCAGCCTGCAGGGAAATAGCTCATTTCAAGCCTGGGGACTGTTTTGCACACCCCACACCTATAGTTTATCCCCTTCGGGTACCAAGAATGGGGTGCAGTGTGGTCCAGCCGCAGGGTCGGGATGCGTGGGGTACCAGGATGTGTGGGGGTACCGGGCTGTGTGGGGGTACTGGGCTGCGGGGCAGCAGTCACCCCTCCTCCTGCGCAATCCCCCAGCTCTCCGGGCCGCGAGGATGCTGTCAGGCTGTGAAACCAAGTGTGTGAGCTCCGGGTGAATAGGAAAAACCTTTAAACTCCCGGTAGTAGTTTGGGGTTATCTGCATTCGTGGAGAACAGGATTAAGCAGGTGCCTGCCTTTTCTCTCCTTCTCTTTGGTGGCTTATTCCCGTGTTCCTCTGCCTGACTCATTCCTCACAGGGCGACAAACGAACACCGGATTTGTCATCTCCCTGTGTTTTTTTACGAGTCGTGTCAAGGTTGAGCAGTTCGTGGCAGGGAGACTTGGCTCTGCTGGGGACACTTAGAGCGTGGGGAGCAGGGGAGAAAAAGTCAGGGACACTTGTCTCAAGTTATTGATTAAATGTTTGCTCAATTTTGGGGTGAATTCTGACGCATCGATGTGAAAAGCAAGCGGGAACGCCGTGGTCATGAGTCCGGCTGGATGCTGGACCGCTTGGTGCTCCCAGGAAAGCAGCTTCCCTTGCTCCAGGGTCTCTGGCATCCCAAGGGAAAAGGTGCCTTTGGCAGCGGCATTTGCAAGGGGTTCAGTAGCACCCCCTGACCCCCAGCATTCTGCAGGGCGCTGGGGGGTCGCAGCCCCTCACATGGCTCCAGTGCCGCTGGGAAAGGATGTGGCAGCTCCAGGTGGGATGGGATTTACTCATTTTCCATCCCCAGATGGGTGACGGGTAAAGGAAGGAAGGGCAGAAACACGTCTGAGGGGCCCCGAAAGCTTTCTGGAGGCAGTGACGGGGCGGCTGGAGCCGGGCGCGTGCGCGGGCTGGTGCACGTCCCTGGGATCCGGCCCCTCCCCACTGCTCGCCATCCCACCC